AGACAATGATAGTTTGGGCTAAAAATTTTGGATATGCAATAGAACCCTAACCCTGCAGACCAATTCCATGAAAGCAAAAATTCAACATGTCAGTAACAACAGCAAATGTCGCTTATGCAACAAGAAAGATGAAACATTAAATCCTGTGATGATACCTCTATCAAACATCCACATCTGCCTATCCCAGGTCTTTGGAAAGGACTCGATAGGGGGATAAAAATGCCAAACCCAGTCTGAACAACTGCCTAAGATGTAATACAGCCCAGGTTCGAATCCCAGTAAGGGTATGGCTAGCTGATGAGAGCTAAATAGCTTGAAATAGATCTATACTAGTCTCCCTTGATTTATTTATCAGCACAAATAAAACACACACACACACACACATATATATATAGGCAAGGGTTTAGAAAGGGCCGGGGGGGGGGCTTGGAGTACCGGGTCGATGCTGGGCAGGTCGTTGAAGGAGAGGTCGATCCAGTAGATGTCCAGCGGATACTCCAGCAGCTTCTCCATGATGTCTGGGAAATCCTTCAAATCATTCAGGGTGTTGTTGTTCAGCCGGATGGCCTGAGTCAGCAGGCGGCCTCCCTCCAAGCGCCGGATGGCCCTGAGCCCAGGACGGGGCTCCTCCGTCAGCAGGTCTGGGGGGGGGGGAGGCAGCAAAGAGGGCAGAGGGGGGGCGTCTGCTGTGCCAGGAGCAACTGGGCACAGACTGGCAGCTGATGCCCACCTGCACACCACCAGCTCTGGAGCATACGCAGAGTGCGCTTCCCACTCTCAGCCACGCGGGTCAGGGTTGTCCCCAAAAGTGCTTCTGCCCCCCACACTCCCACCCCCCAAAAAAGCAACTGGACTTTATTGGGGGTTTTCCCCCCCCTTTCAAAATGTTTCATTTCTCATTCAAGATGCAGCTTCAGTTCTGGAGAAGTTCTGAAGTTTTTGGATGGGAAACGAAATGTTTTCAAAGAGAAAAACAAGGAAGCCCAGATGCCTTTTGGAAATAAAACACCAAAAAAGCCCCTTTTGGGTTGGTTTTATCCCTTGTTTTGAGAGAGTCACAGAAGGAGGATTTTCTCTTTGGGCCAAGCAGCAGAGAAGCTTTTAGTTTTATCTACTTATTTACATCTCACCTTTATTATTTTTACAAATAACTCAAGGCAGCAAACGTCTCCAACATACCTTCCCCCTCCTCCTACTTCCCCCACACAACCACCCTGAGAGGTGGGCCGAGAGAGGGAGGCACTGGACCAAACTCACCCAGCTGTCGGCCATGCCTAAGACGGTACTAGAACTCTCTGCCCCCTGGTCATTGGACCAAACTCTCCCAGCTGTCTCTTATGCCTAAGGCAGGACTAGAACTCACCATCTCTCGGTGACTGGCCAAAACTCACCCAGCTGTCTGCCATGCCTAAGAACGGTACTAGAACTCTCTGACGCCTGGTGATTGGACCAAACTCTCCCAGCTGTCGGCCATGCCTAAGACGGTACTACAACTCTCTGCCCCCTGGTGATTGGACCAAACTCGCCCAGCTGTCTGCTATGCCTAAGAACGGTACTAGAACTCTCTGCCCCCTGGTGATTGGCCCAAACTCTCTCAGCTGTCTTTCATGGCTAAGGTGGAGCTAGAACTCCCGGTCTCCTGGTTTCTCGCTGGCTGCCTCAACCACTAGACCAAGCTGCCTCCAATGGCCCAGGGTTTGAGCCGCAGCAGTGGCACATGGGTTTCCTTTAAAGGTGTGCCCTGCCTGCAGCATCGGTGCCGCCTTCTAATATCCAATATCAAAACGCAGAAATGGAAACGGTGCCAGGTGCGGGGGGGGGGTGGGGTTCGTCCGTACCTTGCATGAAGCTGATGCCTCGGAAGGAGAAGTCCAGCGGCGGCGCCTGGAGGGAGGCCTTGGTGTAATTCCAGTGCACACACGCCTTCCCAGCTGTGCTGGCGAAACACAACGGCCCACGGCCAGAGATTCGCATGCGGCCGAGCCCGGGAGTCTGCTGAGCTGGCTACTCCGGGGCCCCGGAGCTCTGTCCACACCACCTACTTTGGGGAGTCTGGCTGGAGGGAGGGAGGGAAGGACCCAGAGAATGGCCCCGCTCCAGGGGAGGGATGAGGCTGGCCACAAAAGTGGCAGGAGGGCAGCAATGAGGCCTTTGAAGTAGAAGCGGGCATTGCCCGAAACCTGCTGTGGCCATCTGGATTTTTCTAGCCACGCAACGAGGGCAGCCCTGTTGCAGAGAGACTCTATAAACCACGATTCACAAATCACCATGGAAGCCGAAACCTCAGTACATCCGTGCACTGCATCCTCTCAACCCTCAAGCCAAGAAAGTTTGCTGTGTGGAGCCCCTGGGCAGGAGCAGCTGGAGCTGTGCCAGCCGCCGAACACCTGTGCCCAGGCAGGCATATCTCAAGAGCTCCGGTATCTTGGAGGAGGGAGGTAAAAACAAGGAGTGAGGGAATGAAGGAATGGAAATTGGGAGGAAAGGAAGGAAGAGGAGAAGGGGGGAAGAAGGAAAGAATTGGGGAAGGAAAGGAGGGAGGGAACAAAGGAAGGAGAGACTAAGAAAGGAGAAGGAAGGAAGGAAGGATGGAAAGGAAGGATGGAAGGAAGGAAGGATGAATGGATGGATGGAAGGAAGGAAGGATGGAAGGAAGGATGGATGGATGGAAGGAAGGAAGGAAGGATGGAAGGAAGGAAGGATGGAAGGAAGGAAGGATGAATGGATGGATGGATGGAAGGAAGGAAGGATGGAAGGAAGGATGGATGGATGGAAGGAAGGAAGGAAGGATGGAAGGAAGGAAGGATGGATGGAAGGAAGGAAGGAAGGATGAATGGATGGATGGAAGGAAGGAAGGATGGAAGGAAGGATGGATGGATGGAAGGAAGGAAGGATGGAAGGAAGGATGGATGGAAGGAAGGATAGAAGGAAGGAAGGATGGAAGGAAGGATGGATGGAAGGAAGGAAGGAAGGAAGGATGGAAGGAAGGAAGGATGGATGGAAGGAAGGAAGGAAGGATGAATGGATGGATGGAAGGAAGGAAGGATGGAAGGAAGGATGGATGGATGGAAGGAAGGAAGGATGGAAGGAAGGATGGATGGAAGGAAGGAAAGAAGG